GGACCGCGCGGCCGTCCCGCGCCTCCACGGCGAAGCGGATCTCGCGCACCTGCTCGTAGTCCAGGGCGCGCAGCGCATGCACCGCGCCGCTCTCCGCCTGCACCGACAGCCACGACGACAGCGGCGCGCCCTGCAGCTCGCCCTCCGCCAGCCAGTACGTCACCCGGGCGTTGTCGCCCCAGTCCGCGTCGGCCGCCCGCGCGCAGAACACCGAGGCGCCGCGGGCGTTGTTCTCGCTCACCCACACGCTGTAGGCCGCCTGGCTGAAGGCCGGCGCGTTGTCGTTCACGTCCGACACCTGCACCGCGATCGTCGTGGCGGACCACAGCGGCGGCGCCCCGCGGTCCCGGGCCGTGACCGTCACGTTGTAATCCGCCACCTGCTCCCGGTCCAGGTCTCTGGCCGTCACCAGGCTGTAGTAGTTGTCCACGGATTTCTGCAGCCGGAAGGGGACGTGGTCCGGGATGGAGCACGAGACCTCCCCGTTCAGGCCGGTGTCTCCATCCCGCACGTGTAGCAGAGCGATCGCTGTTCCGGGTGCGGAGTCTTCCGGGACTGGGCTGAACAGTGAAGTAATTTCAATTCTGGGCACATTATCATTCACATCCAGGACGGTCACCAGTACTTTGGCCCTGGCCGAGAGGTCGTCAATGTCCTTCGCCTCAACTTCCATTTCATACGCTGCAGTTTCCTCATAGTCCAGGTCTCCTACGAGTGTTATCTCCCCGGTCCCAGGATGCAAGCTGAACACCTGGGAGCCCTGCGCTGAAATTCTTGTAAAGGCGTAGCTCACCTCAGAATTGCTTCCCTCGTCCGGATCAATGGCGCTTATTGAAACGACCGTGGATCCTCTGCGCACGTTTTCCAAAACACTGGCTTTATAGACCGGCTGGGCAAAACGCGGAGCATTGTCATTGGCGTCCACCACCAGAACACGGATTTGAGCAGTGGCAGACTTGGCCGGGTCCCCCCTGTCAGACGCTGTGAGAGTTAGTTGGTGGACAGCGCGCGTCTCCCGGTCTAGAGCCGTTTCCAGAACCAGTTCCGGATATTTAACACCCCCGGGGCCAGATTGCATGTCCAGGGAGAAGTGCTCGTTGCTGCTCAGCCGGTAGCTCTGGACAGAGTTAACTCCCACATCTGGATCTTGCGCCTCCGGCAGGGAAATTCGCGTGCCAACAGCTGTAAGCTCATTAATTTTTAGCTCTAGCTGTTGCTCCTGGAAGCTGGGAGCATGGTCATTGATATCCGTGATCTCAACTTCTACTTCAAAAAGTTTCACTTGGTCCTGAACAAAGAGTTCAAAATTGATGGCACATTTCTCAGCCTGGCCGCACAGCTGCTCCCTGTCTAGCCGCTCCGCCGTGATTAAATGGCCGCTCTTTACATTCAAAGCGAAATACTGTGTCCTACCTGTGGAGACCACGCGCACGCCGCGCTCAGACAGCGCCTTGGCCTCCAGCCCCAGGTCCTGCGCGATGTTGCCCACGAAGGAGCCTTTCTGCATTTCCTCGGGGATCGAGTAGCGAATCTGCCCGGCCGCAGCGGCCCCGCACACGGTCAGCACCACGCAGCACAGCACGGCTCGCCCTGCGCAGCGCCGCAGCCCTTGTGCTCCGGAACTGGCCATGGCGATCCGGAGGATCCACTGCCTCTCCGCCGCCGAGCGCTGCTGCTTGGAGATGATCTTGTCCGATTGTTTCTGACAATATCAGGTGCTAATTTTTCAGCCGATTTTCGCGAATATCCTGCACCGAGATTCAGTCCTGAACGAGTGACAGTCTGAGCTCTCTGTGCTCCGAGCTGTGCTGCTGCGGCGCTGGGTTGGCTGGATCTCTCGGCGCATTTCTCTCCCCGATTGGTGAACAGCGGCGCTCAGAGTCGCAGCCAATAACTGCAGCGGCTCTAAGAGGAAATGTTAGCGGTGGGTTTTTTTCCAAGAAAAACTATTAATTCACGTTTTGCATCTTTCTCGGTATGTTGCACGGGATTTTCAGCTGTACAGACAGAAGCAAGAGCTTCTCGTTTGGTAACTGACTGAATTCGAGAGCCTTAGTGGTTATGTTTATACACATCAATGACATTTTACTATACTGTATATGCTTGATTTTGTCCAGGGTATTCAGGAATATACATCACCATGCACTCTCACTGCTTTGGGACATTTGTCTCTTGTGCGTTGCTCCATGAGCAGACTGCGAGGTTAACTGGAAATGAGCCTGGTGGTCCCTGGACTGCGCTATAGTTGCTGCAATTTTTTCCACAATTATTACATAGGACAGTTGTTCACGGTGGCCATTCTATTCACCATATCCTGTTTCTGTCCTAACGATGGAACATGAATAAACGACTCACAAGTATTTTTGATGGTTTGGCTCTATCTAACTGGCAATGTATAAAAGTTGTTTTGCGAAGGCAGTATTTTTATAGTTTCATAACTTGTAACACAAGGATAGTCTATTGGTTTCCCAAAAATACTGCTGTAAAGAGAAAACATTGCAAATATGTACAGAATGACCAAGCGCGCGGCAAACGAACCTACGTACACATGTAGATGTCATTTTAAGGTGATACAAATGTATGCGAAGAACAATATCACCTGATGTCAGGGCATGCCAATAAGTTTTAGGCACTTTCACCGCCCCGCAAACACCTCCCCGGGGGCAAATACTACAAACCTTCGAGGGTGTTTTAAAATATTGAAAAACAGTCTCCTGGAAAGTACCCTCTTTACTCTTCAAAAAAAAAAAAATGCCTATCTCTGGGTCTCACATAAAATAAAATAAAATAAAATAAAAAAAATAAAATAAAACAATCTTTTTCGGCCCAGGTCACGGACCAGTTAGGCCTACCTTAAAGGACTTCACCTCAGTATTACAGAGGGTTAGAAACAGGGCTCGCATCATTTGGAAGCCCCAGAATGCTAGCACGTGTTTCTAGACAGGGAAGACGAAGAAAACTCTAGCTCTCAAAATACTATCTGTATTCAAGTTTACACTGAACAGATGTAATGTTAAAATATTTACAGTCGCCAAGTTACACTAAACGGATGGCTTCAGTGTAACCAAGGCAGTCTAGTTAGAGGGGAAAAAGGCTCAAACTATCTGCAAGTTATTTCCAAGACAAATCCATCCACTATAAGATACGTGGCCAATAAAGAGTGCATGAATACGGCTGCAGTGGTTTTATCACCATCGCCTTCAAATGACCCGTTTTCCTCCCTCCTGATTTCTCCAGTATTATATAATGCACTCCTAAATCTTCAGAGAAGGCCCACATTTCTCACATTATGCAAGTAACACGTAAGAGGTGGGAGATTAGAGGTAAGAAAACAGCGTGTTTAGAGATTGGTGTTTCCGGTAACCAAGTGACCTCGCAAACAAATATTCTTAAACCTGGGTCTCAAAATGATTTTGAATTCGCAATCTTTCAGTAACAAAGAAAAAAATAGCTTTGAACCTATTATATATCTGCATAATACCGTTGTGCTAAGGAAGCGCTCGGATATCAGAAGTGGTGTGTCCAATTAATAAAGAAAATAATAGAAAATAAAAGGACTCATGTTTAAAGCGTTGGACTGACGCAGATTTAATCTGTGTCAGATACTCACTGTGACAGTCAGAGGATCTCTCATTGTCAATGGGCTTCACTATACCCCATGGTAGGGCACAAATTCTATAACCTGCCGGGAATCAAGATCCGAACTGAGGTATGCTCACAAGACTGATGTGATAAACAACAACAAGAACAAAAAAAGCTAAACTTCCCTCCCATCCGCCCGCAGCCCTCTAAAACTTATAACTTAAAATTTTACAAGAACCCCCTACATTCGGTCACACGCCAGATTTTTAAATCTCATTGCTGCACAGAAGGAGGAGTCTGAAACCACACGCTCACCTCCCGCGCAGTCTCAGTCTCGGCTTGGAAGGCGCTACAGCCATTCTCCGTAGGCAACACCCCGGGGCTGGCGCCACACAGGATGCTCCCGGCTGCCGGCACCTGCGGCTTCAGGAGGCCGAGGTCCTCCTTCCCGGCGTCGGAGGACAAACACAGCTGGTAGGAGTAGGGCAAAGTGCCGTCTTCGTAGGTCGGCGGGAACCAGGGGCCGCGCTCGGAAGCAGGGGCCGGGCCCAAGCACGGGAGCAGGCGGGGAGGCCTTGACCCCCGCAGTCTGTCCAGGACGGCCAGGGCGACGGCCAGGAGGAGCAGGAAGGACACGAGAGCCAGCGCCAGCACCAAGTAGAACTGCAGGGCGGCCGCCGAGTCCGAGGCCCCGGCCGCCTCGGCCTCGGCCTCGGCCCGCCCG